GATATCATGTCTGCATCTTGTACAGCAATTAACCACTAGGAAGAATGTATGCAATGTGTTAATTATTGAAACTGTTCTACCAGTTTGGTTTGAAACTGTCTCATTGGTATTTGTTTATCAATAAAATTATGGGAAAAAAGAAATAACCAAAAAAAATTGTTTTAAAAAATAAAAAAAATTAAGATTTCTTGAAAAAAAAAAAGATAGCTGCAGTCAAGTTAAGTTGAATTTGAGTACATCAACTACTGAGAACATCAGATCCTAACTCATTATTACCAGTGACTGACTTTATAGCATCAATTCTAAACATCTCATTCTCTTAATTTGTGTAATTTACTTCAAAAGTCTAAGTGTAATCATTCATTATCATAGTCCATTTTTTCTTGCTTTAACATAATACCCAACGTTGGGTAATTTGTAAAGAAAAGGTTTATTTGGCTCATGATTCCAGAAGTCCAAGAGCATGATGTTAGCATTTGCTTGGCTTCTAATGATGGCCTTGTGGCAATATATTGGAAAGAGATGAGCACCGGTAAGGGAAGGAATGTTTGTGTGAGACATAAATAGGAAAGTGGGGCTGGACTTGGTTTATTATAACTTGCTGGGGACCTGGCCAAGATCTCTTAACTGCCAGTATGCACGGTGCAATAAAAGATAAGAGATGGAGACAGATTTAGTAATTTGTAAGTGGGAATAGGGGTCAGTGCCTCAGAATGGGCAAAGACAAAGACCTGACTGGCCCACTACTTACTGAGCACAAACACACATTTTCAGAGAGTGTGGTGTAATTTTCCTGGAACAGGGTCGTGATTGCTGTGGCATAGTAAAAAGAACAAAGCAAACTTGTAAGGTTGCAAGGATGAGACAAGGGCCAGTAAGGAAACTATAGTTTCCCCAGGTGAAACCTTGACTACTACTACATTGCCTTAAAGTTCCTTGTTTGCTTCAGTACATCTTATCTTGCCCTGTAAATGCCTCTGCATCACTAGCTGTGGGGCTTCAGCTGTGACTGGAGAAAGCTGAGAGTTTTTGAGTTCCAGCTTACAGGATGTCTTAGTTACTCTTCTCTCTTGTTGGGACTAATACCCGACACTCAAAATGAAGGAAGGAAAGGTTTATTTAGCTCACAGTTACTGGAGGTTTTAGTCTATACTCAGCTGAGTGCAACGCAGAGCAGCACAGAGCAAAAAGCAACTTTTCATGGTGGTGGCAAAGAGCAAGAGCGCAAGGGAGGGAGGGGTAGCAGCAGCTCAAACAGCTAGCTTCTCTTTCCACCTTACATTGTAATGCAAATTACCTGCCCCAGGGCAGGTGCAGCATCCACACCCACAGTAATCAATCACAAACTCCAGAAGCTGCCCCAAGACTGCTTGAGGCTTTGGGGGGACACCTATACACAAACCATAACACAGGACAAGGACTCAAACATGGTCTGGACTCAATTTATAAGTGGTCCCCAAGAATAAAGCTCAAATGAAAGCTCATTCATTCCCCAAGAACTGATCCACTCTATAGGGAAAGACATAAATCTGTTCATGAGGGCGGTGCCCCCATGACCTAAGGAGGCTATCCTACCTCCTGACGCTGCTGCATTGGGAATCAAATGTCACAAGTGTTTTGATGCGGACAAGCTATGTCCACTCCATCAGGACCTACAATTTACTATTTCTTAACCACATTTTAGTAGTCTCTTATGTCTTCATTTCCCTCCTTACTCAACTTAAATTTCTTTTGCATGCAGTTACCTTGTCTTGTTTTGAACTTGTTTTATTTGCATGTCAAAACCCAAAATCATGTCTGACTTTTTATGTCCATGCAGCTGAATGTGGCTAGAACAAACATGCAGCCACACTAATTGGTTTCACTTTAAATTCATGACTTTGAGCCTCAAGTAGGCACTTGGTGCTGTTAGTCCTACCAACTGGCTTCTGTTTAGTTTTTATTTATTACAGGGTCTTCTACGCAGTACACACTTGTAGTTAGCATTCTGTCTGAGTCTTCCCAGCGTTGGGACCACAGTGCCACCACATCCGGTCTTGAGACTGGCATGGCATGTGCTACCAGGGATTGAACCTGGGGCCTTGCAGTTGCCAGGCAGGTGTTTTAGAGACCCAAGCTATCTCCTCAGCTCCTTGTCCTTTATACCGTTGATATGATATACAACATTGATTTTCTTATTTCTTTCTTACCCTTAATTCCTCAGATAAATTCCAGCTGGTCATGGCATATAATTCTATATATTTTTCTGGGTTCAATTTACTATAATTTTGTTGGGGATTGTTTCCTTTGTCTTAATAAAGAGTATTGATCTGTTTGGCTTTTCTTATGAGATCTTTTCTGTATCTGTGTTCTCAATACAGCATTAGGGAATGAAGAAGTTTATGAAGGATTGGTGTTCATTTAAATTTGTCAGAACTTACCAATGAAATCCCCTAAATCTTAACATTTACTATTTGTTAGTTGACTCAGATATTCTGCTTCTTCTTGAGTTAGGTTTGCAAATCTGTGTCATTCTGGAGATTGACCTTGTCATTTTGTTCTATTTTCTTTTCTTTCAGAACTGGGGATTGAACTCAGGCACCTGTACTAGCCAAGCAAGCACTTATTCCACTGAGCCATCTCCCTAGCTTTCTTTTTTTTTTGTAACGGGAATTGAACTCGGGACCTTGCACTTGCCAAGCAAGTGCTCATGCCCCAGCTGACCTTGTCATTTTATTTGATTTTTAGACATTATAAATTATTTGCAACTTTTTTTATATTTTTTGTCTTTCTGAGACAGGGCTTCACCATGCAGGTCAGCCTGGCCTTAAACTCACAGTGATCCTCCTGTCTCAGCCTCTTTAGTGTTGGGATTACAGGTGTGCACTACCACACTTGGCTACTTTCCATATTTAAAAAAAAATTATATACTACTTGTCAAGATATACATAGTTTTCATTTGACTTCCTATAGTTCAGACTAAAAAACTTTTGAAATAATGCTTTATATATGAATTGTATATTTTACATATATAATATATATTTCACATATGAAAGCAGTATATTGGGAAAACTAGTTTTCTTTTTAAAAATCATTTAAATTAATATTTTATATTTTGTCTTTTAGGATTATATATTCATCAAACAGAAACATAAAAAGCCATGAAGAGGAAATTCTTAGTAAAATGACAATGGACAGTGGGATACAAGAGAATCTTGACGTGAATTTTCAAAAGTGTAAAAATTCATCTGATTTTGCTCTTCAGAAGCATGAAATTCCAGAGGATGGCAGTGATAAAGATGACAGTTTAATTTTCACTGGTGAAGTATTTTTGATGGATTTTTATAAAATTTTATAATCATAAAAATAATTACATTCTGATATAAAGAAAAGCATACTTTGGAAATGGAACTACTGATTTCAATAAACATAGAGAAAGGAAGTAGTAGTCAACTTCCAGCTTTTCCAAGTAATTGGAGATAGTTTTATTATAACTAAATCTATATAATTTACAATCCTGTTTTTCACTGCTTAAAACTCCACTGTACCTGTCATTTCCCTTATTCTATTCTGTATCATACATTTTAGCAGAACGTAGTTAAGTTATAACACAATGTATGTATTCCTTTAAAACTGTTATGCAGCAGTGTGACACGTGTAAAAAACTAGCAACCTAATTAAATAGTTGCTTAGTTTTGCCTACATTTTGGAATGTATACAGCATTTACCTTTGAAAAGACCTTAAATTTACTTGTAGAAGTAGGTATCAGAAGGGTTGCATCTTTGGAGTTACTGTGAATTGGTAGAAAGAGAACATTAATTAGAGAAACATTGATTGGTTCTGACAAGAAGCCTGAGGTCTTTGGATCAGAGAAAAGACCTATTATTACTCGTGAAACATCTTAGTGCCAGTTCTCAGTTGTCAAATTCCATGAGATGATGCACTGAAGCCCTGATGTTACTCTGCCTATAATGGAATTTCACCACAGATGAACTCCAAAATTAGGAAACTCTAATCCAGTGTGGAGGTACACACCTGTTATTTCAGCAGTAGGATAGCAGAGGCAAAAGAATCACTATGAGTTTGAGGCCAGCCTGAGGTACACTGAGTTCAAGGCTAGCCTGATCTATATAGTGAGACTCTGTCTCAAAAACCAAAAAACTTAGGAAACTCTGAGCTTTTGTAGGCTGCTGCCAGATCTGCTCATTAGCTTGAGGGTTTAAGAAGGTGGGTGGAGATATAAACACCAGTATTGACTTTGGGACATGCTATAGTTTGATCTAAAGTGTCCCTTAACAGTCTCATTTGTTTAGAACTTGGACTTTTGGATGGTGATTAGATCATGGTGCATTATACTCATTAATGGATTAAACCACTGATGAATTCATAGCTAAATGTGCTATTAGGAGATTGGGCCTGAGAGGAGAAAGTTCATCACCGGAAGTGTGCTGTGGTGGTTATGTCTTGCTCTGGTTCTAACTCTGTGCTTCTGGCCATCTAGAGGGGAACAGATTTCCTCTCCGTGCCTCTCAGCTATGTTCTTTCTGTGTCAGAGCCAGCCAACCATGGACTGAAACCTCTGAAAATGTGACAGAATAAACCCTCCTCCTCTGAGTTGTGGGTAACTGGTGTTTTCCTCTAGCGATACCTAGTGGACCAATACAGAGAAGTGGTTTGATGACCAGGGCCTCAGTTTGCACAATATCTTACCATGTGCTTCGGAAGCCTTTAGAGGTGGTTTGTGGGACAAGTTAGGAGAATCAGGCTCCAGAAAGCCTAAATTATGTAAGCAGTGGTGATTTCTCTCTTAGATACTCTTAAATTTTTTTTTCTTTATTTTCCTGTCATTTCTTTATTTGTTTTTTGCAGTTTTTCTTGAGAATGTTTAACCCAGATAGTCTCTAGGTTCGTAATTATGGTGGCCTCAATTTGTATTATATAGAATAATGTTAATTACAGGTCTGGCTATGACATCCACTTTGGTAAAATTATTTGTTAATCTCCCATATCCTTAATTTAAATTTCAGATTCCTTTCTGTGGCATAAGGAGACTTCATGAATTTGCTCCTACCTGACCTTCACTGCATCCTCTCTATGACTCTGCCTCATATCCCTGCAGCTTTAGACCTAGTGAATTAACTGATTTTCCCTCAAAGAATTGCGTTTTGTTACTTCTATGTCTTTATCTTTGTGGTATTCCTGAAATGTCATTATAGTCATTTATCACATCTTTTTTTTTACTCCCCATCAGGTTTTACTATGTAGTTTGGACTGCTCTTCAATTCACTACATAGCCCGTTACATTCATAGTAATCCTCCTGCCTCATTCTCTTGAGTGTTGGGATTACAGGCTTGAGCCACCATTCCCAGCTTTATTATATCTTTTAATTGTCTACTTTGTGGTAGGTTTAGGATATGAGCGAACAAATTACTGTACTTGTTTTGCAGTCTAGTTGGAGATACAGTAGGTGGGTCATATACAAAGTGTTAAGAGGACACAAATAGGGCACATGCAACCTGGACTTGGGCTTTTAGAGAAAGCTCAACATAGAGGAGATAACTACTTAGTTGAATCCTAAAAGAAAACCAGGAGTGGGCTGGTGAGATGGCTCAGTGGTGTAAAGCACCTACTTGGAACAAGCTTGGGAAAGCACAGGGACCGCGGTTCGATCCCCCAGCACCACATGCCAGCCCGCCCCGCCCCCTGGTGGGCTGAGCTGGCCACACACACACACACACACACACACACACACACACACACACAAAATAAATAAATAAATAAATGTTTAAAAAAAAAAAAGAAAACCAGGAGTTATCCTAGCAGAAATAGTTTAAGGGGGGGAGTATTCCAGGCAAGGTAAACATGACTGTATGCTTAGAAACAGATGAAGTCAGACATATAACCCACTTGGAAAACTAGAAATGGTTTGTTTAGGAGTAGGGTGAAGTCAGGACAGGAGTGGTCACAGTAACAGAGTAAGCCTGGAGATACAAGCTGAAGCTCTATCATGAAAAGCCTTATTGGAAGGATGACCTTTTTTTTTTTTTTTCAAGTTGGGCCACTGTTTTTTTACTTTTCTGTAGTACTAGGGATTGAAGCCAGGTATTCAGGAGTATACTAGGAAAATGCTCTACCATACAGCCACATCCCTAGACCTTTTAAAATTTTATTTTGAAACACATTCTCAGCAAGTTACCCAAGCCAGACTCAAACTTGTGTTCCTTTTAGCTCAGTCTCCCAAGTAACTGAGATTATAGGTATATACCACCATGCCTAGCTCATACTATTAAGAAAATGAAAGCATTGCTGTTAACATAGTCTCACAGAGGAGTGGATGTTCCAGGACATCCCTACTCCCCAGGAAATGAATATTCTGATGCTCAACTCTTTTATATAAAATATTTGCTTGTAACCTATTGCATTCTCCTATATACTTTAAAGTGTCTCTAGGTTGCATATATCTTAACACAGTGTAAATGCCATATAAAGTACAGTTGTTTGACTGCACTGTTTAGAGAGTAATGGTCAAAAAGTCTATCAATGTTAAGTCCACATGCTAGGTGTATAGTTTTTCATCAGTGGGACACAAGGCCCAGCACCCACAACTAAGAAGCAGTTTAATTGGGTTCATAGTTGCAGGGATATTATGGCTCATGGCAGGAAATAGCTGGTGGTAGAACACAGATGCTTAGTTTGTGGCAGCAAGGAAGCAAAGAATGAGAACACCATCAGAGAGAGAGAGTTAAAGGGCCAAGTATAGTAGTCAAGGTCACACCTCCATGACTCACCTGAATATGCCCAGAAGTGTTCTTTCTTTATATAATAACACCACCATGTCAGGCCCATTTCTATAAAAATAAACAGCGGATTGAGAAAGAGAGCTATGAGGAACAGCAAAAGAGTTGTAATTCTATTTATTTAGTCTTCTGGGGGGACTTTTGAGACAAGATCTCATTATGTAGTTCAGCCTAGCCTTGAATTCACTGTGTGGCCCAGGCTAGCCTAGAACTCACAGCAATCTTGTCTCAGCTTCCCAGGTGCTCCACCACACTCAGCTAGAGTTGTAATTTTAGAGTGGTTAGCTTCAGCCTCTGAAAAGGTGATAGTTAAGTGATAATTTAAGAGGTGAGAAAATTAGCCATTTGGACGCCTTAGAGAAAAATATTCTAGGCAGAAGGAGTGTTAGTGTAAAGATTCTAAGATGGGAATGTACCTGTCATATTGGAAGAATAAGAAATATAGAAATGGGCCTAACAAGGTGGTGCACACCTGTAATCTCAGCACTCAGGAGGCCAAGTCAGGAGGATTGCTGTGAGTTCAAGGCCAGCTAAGGCTATATAGTGTGTTCAGGGCTGTCCTGAACACACAAGACTTTGAAATAAATAAAAAAATAATAAATGAATGAATAAATAAATGTAGAAATGAGCAGAGTAGTACACATTGAAGTTAGAGAGGAGCCAGATGTTGTAGGATCTTGTATGAGGCTAAAGATTGTCGTTTTTAAAGAAATGGGGTGAGCCTTAGGATGATTTTGAGCTGGGATGTATAGTGTTCTGAATTACATTTTTAAAAGATACCTTAGGGCTGGCCAAATAGCTCAGCGGATTGGGGCCAGGGTTCGATCCCCAGTCTGTCATGCCGGCCCCACCCCCGGGGCACACTGAGACAACAGTTGAGACTGGGCATGGTGGCACGCGCCTGTAGTCCCAGCACTGTAAACAGGTAGATCACTAGGAGTCTGAACTAATAGTGAGACCCTGAACACCCGGTAAACCGTTCCCTAAAAATACAAAAAAGAAAAGAAAAGAAAAGATACCTCTAGATGTTGTGAGGAGGTTATTGCAGAAATCTGGTTGAGATGCTAGTGACTTGAACCAGGGCATGAAAGTGAGGTTTTGAGTAATGCTTAGATTTTAGTGGTAGAGCCAGCCTGGTATTGTAGTTAATATTCCAGGTTAATAGATTTGGTTAGTGGAAATCTATCAGCACTGACTAATTTTTGCAAATGTACTAACCAAAGTTTCTGGGCTGACAAAGTATGATACATATATGTGTTAAAAGGAAATCTTTAGACAAAGTTAGCTTACCTGAATTTATTTGAACAAGGAATAGTTCATATGAAGTAGGCAGCATTCAGTATCAGAAAAAGGTTCATAAGGCTCTACTTTACCAACTGAATAGGGGCTACTTATAGGCAAAATGGAAGTAAAATACAGACATAACTTCATTTGTTATAAGTAGACCTTTCCCTTTTTTGTACCTGGTCTGATCAGATAGCTACCTGTGATTGTGTAAAGTTTGGCTGTATGTGATTGTTTGAGACCTTGTTTGGTTTTGTTTACTTACTAAGTTAGGCTGCAGTTCATTGTGTGGGCACTCGAAGGGTGGAGATAGTTTCAGCTCAGCTTTAGCAGTGTAAGCGAGGCATGGTGGTGTACACCTGTAATCCTGTAATCCTGCTTAGGAAGCTGAGGCAGGAAGATCGCTGTGAGTTTGAGGCCACCCTGGGGTATGTAATGAGTTCAAGGGCAACCTGAGCTACATAGGAAGATCTTACCTAAAAATAAATAAATAAATAAATAAAAGTTCTATTTTATTATGGCATAATTACAATGATAATATACTACTCTACAAAATACAGTGAATCCATGCTATATCTATGAACTGTGATATACAGTGTAGTATTTTTCCTTTTTATGTATATGTATCTTTTTACTTTCCACTGCCAAAATAGTGAGGAACAAATAGTTTTAAAAAATACCTATTTTTTAATATCTCTTCATGCTGTATGCAGTACTAATATCATAGTCCTCTAAGAAGCCCATTTATTTCAGTTGAGTTTTTATCAGTTTACACATTCATTTTAGCCAAATGTTCATGAAGTAGGGTACATTCACTGGCTTTCCTTCCTTATAATGAAATACTTGAGATACTTCATGTATAAAGAGGAAAGGCTTGTTTTGGCTCATAGTTTTAGAGGTTTGCCATCCACGATCAGGCAGAACTGTTACTTTCTAACTCATGAGGACACAGCTAGTGAAACAAATTGCTCACTTTAATGATCTGGAGGCCAGAAAAGAAGCCAGGGTGCCACTATTTCCTTCAAGGGCATGCTCCCAGGAGATCTTCCACTTGGCTGTATCTCCTAAAGGTCTGCAGCACCTCCACAATCACCCCCCTTAGGACCAAGCCTGTAACACAGGCACCTTTGGGGGACAGTCAACATCTGAAGTATAGTATAGGGCATGGGAAGGAATTAAGTAATACAAGAGTATTAAAATTGGAAAACTTTCTAATTAGATATTCATGAAATAAATTTATTTTTGGTATATAATGTTCTGATATGTTTAAATGTGTATTTATATTTAAAGGCCAGTAATACAGAAAAAGTGAATGAATTACAGTTTTAAAAATTTTGAACTTTCCACTTAAATATTTCAGCTAATTGAGATAATTATGTAGAAAACCCTCCTTTTAATATTAGAAAACAAAATTTGGTGATGTTTATAGTATTACATTCTTAGTCTTATTTTTCTCTTTTAAAGATAATTGTGGCTTGGAACCTGCCTCTGAATTAGGAGAAGATTTATTGAAGCTTTATGTGAAGCGTTGTTGTGCAGATATTGATATTTATGTTGATGGAAAGAGTTTTAAAGTTCACAGGTAAATAGATTTGTGATTGATTTTGTGTCTTTAAAGTTGTGATATTAAAGTGTAGAATAGTGCTTTATCTTTTTAAATACAGTGGTTTTTAGCTGTGATTCATGCAAGTCACAGGGGCTGCACAGTGACTCCTCAAGGAGCCTGCGGCTGGGGGAGAGGCTGGCCATCAGATAGGGTTTTCTGCCTGCAGGCTTCTACACATACACATGGACAGAACAGATTTTTCTCATCTATTCTTTGCATTAGGCATAAACCTAAGATTTCATTAGAAGAAAATACGTTGTTGCCTATAATTGGTTTGAAAGCCACTGTTATGGAAAATGTATTCTTAAATTTTACGGGGATTATAGTATTGAAGATGCTTATTTCCACATGAAGGCATGTATTTTCTCTGGGTACGTTTGGTTGCAACTTCTGTGATTCAAAATAAAGGATATTCATGAATAGCATTGATTAGGGCGCTTCATATTTCAATGGACTTAAAAAACATTGTTTTGCTTAAGAATTGATTTGCTTCCACATTTCAGGCTTTTAGAATTCAAATTAAAAGTCTATTTGTTTTGGTCAAGCCCTTTTGATTGCAGGTAACTAACATCTGCTTAAATGAAGAAAAATTTGTAATAAATACTTAGATTATCTGTTAGAATTCAAATAAATGAGGTCTAGCTGGACCTTAATATAGACTAGAATCAGAAATCAGGAATCCAACTGGTTATTCCCTTCATATTTTAAATATGAATGTCATTAAGAAGTTATCCTAGTGTTCCTGAAGAAGAAAAAACAAACTATTTTTACAGTGTCAAGAAGGAAGTTTCAAAGTTTAGAGGTCCATATACCTTATTGAAATTAGCAGTTGATTGATTTAGATTGTAAGAACCTACCGACAACAGTATGTTGCCAAATTCTAGGACTGCCATTTTGAACCAGATTATTTACTCTTTGTAATTTGACATTTCCTCTCTAGGAACATTTATTATGTAAATACATGTACATATATACATATTTTTCCTAATTCCTAATTTTTGTTATAGTTAATAAAATACAAAAGGTCGTACAGATTGATCAGTGTTTTCCATATCAAGGTATACTTTCCTGAATCATAGATGTGTGTGTGTGTGTGTGTGTGTGTGTGTGTGTGTGTGTGTGTTTCTTTTTGTCAACACAGTTTTATTTTTAAAACAATTTTATTTGTGTCTAGTTTTTCTTAAGAGCATATAAGCATCATACCAAGGTTCTACTCAGAGAGCCCTAAAACTATTGCTGTCATACAAGGATGGCAGACTCAGTGACCATTTGCAGCTTGTCTTTAGTATTTGTGTTTGACCTCTCCCTGTGTGCTGCCTGGGAGTGGTTGGGTAGAACTGTGTTTTAGGAGCTGCATCTAGAATATTAGGTTGGTATTCCACAGCTGCTCTTTCTCACGTTTCTGATTTGTTTTGCTTACTGATCTATAAACAAGAAATTCATATTAACTAGGAAGGCACATCCCTGAGAATATCTTTCAAGTTCTGACATGTTTTCCTACTTTGTTGCCTTTATATGAGTTATACTAAATTCTAAATTACAAAGTGCTATCCTAGTTTAAGCGTAGCCTCTGTTTAGTGAGTACTAATTTTGCAAACAAATGTTGTGTCCGTATTGAGAAAATACATATTTATGTAAAGTCTAACATCAGAACTTTTAAATTATTTCTTCTTTTGCCTATAATATTGATAAAATCAGTGCTGACAGTTCTTTGAAGTAGTGTAGCTAAAAAATTCATTTATAGCATAACTACTTTAATTTTAAAAAATATTTGTATTCATTTGTTGAAAAATCAGTACAAGTACTTATTATAGAGGACCAGAATTTATGATCTGAGTTATAGAGTACTCAGAACATTTAGAATGGTTTAGTTTGCTAGTTTAATATGTTCAGATTGGTGTGATAATATAATTTCTTACTCCATTGGGTTAATTTTTCTCTCAAGTTCAAGTTACTTCCTTAAGCATATCCAAGTTTTCCAAGATTGTCTCTCCAGGTACACTGTCTGTTGTTTACCCTGATCTTGCCTTCATTGCTCAGAGTGCTTTATGCACTAAGACAGTCAGATGCCAATGGTTTGTGGTGGCACAACAAAGTAAAGCAGAATGGTTAAAATATGGGCTGGGGAGCCGGACTGCCTGGGTTTTAATTCAGCTTCAGTCTCATTGGCTGTATGAACTTTGGCAAAACCATTCAGCTATTTATTCCGGGTTTCATAAGCATCCTCATCAAAGAGAGGGATCCTCAAACCACCTGTCTCATAGGATGATTATGAGGTTTACTTAAAAACTTTGCTTGGTGTATAATGAATAGTATGTATGTTTGCTCTTCTTGTTCTTATTATTATCATCATCATGCAAGTGATAATCCTTTGACACAAGTCTTTGTATAGACTGTGGCAGCAGCCTCAAGCCCATTGCTTCTATGGAGCAAGCAAAGAAACATGCTTTGAATCACTTGCATTTTCCCCTAATCCAAGAAAGGATGGGATAGCAATAGGCTTCCAAAGGTTTCATCTGCTATACTTTACTGCATAGTCCTTTCCTTCTCTAAAGTTTTAACTTCTTCTCCTCCTCCTCTTCTTCTTCCTCCTCCTCCTCCTGCTCCTCCTCCTGTTCCTCCTGCTCCTGCTTTTTTTTTTTTTTTGGCAGAGAAGTGGGTGTTACTGGAGATCAAACTCAGGACCTTGCACTTGCCAGGCAGGTGCTTATGCCATTATCTCCCTGGCTATGTTTTAACTTCTGTACCTCTTTCCCATCTTTGTCATTATTTGTCTCCAACACATGCTCACAGCAGAAATGAGAGCTCTTTATTTAGAAGATGGGAGCTTACAATAACAGGATGATCTATTAGTCTTCTGAATCCATTTGTTATATTATTACATTTCTGAATATTGCTTTCTGGGATACTGCAGTATGTTCCCCTTTGTTGTGGACTTCTGTAACATTACCTTCTTGCCTTGAATTCCTCTTGGTTGTGGGATGAATATCATTTGGACATTGTACATTTCTCTTGGCTTATATTTCCCTCTGTCACTGTAGTTTACCCATAAATGTATACCTGACTTGCTCTATTGCTGACCTTCTATTTTATAATATGATTTATTATTTTCATGCTGAATGACACACGTTGAATGTTATACTCTTAAAATTATTTGCTGCATTTTTGTATTCCATAATTAAGATTCTCTCATGCTGCCTCGTTAAAAAACCAGAACACTGATTCCAAATGTTAGCTCTCTGACTCTCAAGAGCTAGTATTCCTTTCAGTGCAAAATTCTACACCATTAGTTAATCATTGATTGGGCTAAGGTGTTTTTGGATCTCCCTTTACAATGTTAGTTTTTCTGAATATTTAATAAGCACCATGTCAGAAGATCAGTATTATATTTAAGGCCATATCAGTATCTGTATGTTTTGGATACATTAGGTGAAAGTTTTTTCAGAAGTAGTAAAGCTTAGTGATTGCTGCTCTTTCTGAATTTGTATTCTGATTTTACTGCTTATTAATTGTTGAGAAATTACGTTTCAATTCTTTATTTCTAAAAGAAATAATAATAGCAATAATGGTATAAGATAGCTGTGAAGATTGAGTCAGATAATGCATATAAAAGCATGCAGCATGTGTAAATGTACCTGTCACATGTTTTTGAAAGTGTTAGTTGCTAAAAATATGTACTGTGTATCCATAAGAAAAATCACAATATTACCTATTCTAACTTGTCTTACAATAGAAGGCAGCAGACTATGGCCCAGATCTGGTAAGGGTCCATTTTGCAATAGGGACCTGCAAAGCCTAAACTTTTTATCATCTGATTATTTAAAGAAAATTTTCCAGTTGTCTTCATAGAATTGGTATGATATATAAATGAAATAATTACAATAAAATTCCAAGTTTTCATACTATAGTGAGTTACTAATGTCTTAATTTATTAATGATGAATTGTCAACCCTCTCCATCGAGAGGTTTAAAGTAATGATAAATTAGGTGTAGGAACACTAGAAGAGAAAGAGGTAAAATTCTGTGGTACCACTAACGTTGGTTGAAATGGGGAACTAGAAGTATAGGTTATTGGGTATCTAAAAGAAAATAAGCTACTATAGTTAGAATCTTCCTGAATATAACTGAACATGCTTCCCAGGTGCCCTGGAGAATGTATGGGTGTATTAGCCAGACTTTCTTTTATTTTTAATTTATTTTTATTATTATTATTTTTTACAATTTTCATGGAATATTTTTATTTTTGTAGGTTATATTGCATTTTATTTCTTTTTTTGACATCAGTTATTTTAAAGAAAAAAAATAAAAACAATGGTACAAAATCTCAAAATAAGATTTTAGGAGAGTAACAATGGTTAGTACATTGTGTATTGTTACTGCCAAAGTAGTTTCTCATATTACAAGATATAGGCAAGAAATAGTAAATAAACAACATAGGTATAAACCTCTGTTTTTTTTTAAGTCAACAGAAAATGGAAATATACTTTTTAAAGTTTCTAATACTAGGAGAAGATATCATACAATGTCTTTTAAATAAATTGTAAGTCAAAGATACAGTATAAATCTTAGAGCAAAAATTAAGATTAAGCAATGTTCAGAAAATTAAATGTTTCAAAACAATTGAACTAAGAAAAAGTTTTCATGATAGCAAAGAAGTACTAAGAGTAAAACATAAGATAAATACTGGAATGTCAAGTAAATGACCAGCAATCCTAACAGTTTGAGGATAGGATATCGCACAAAGTTCTAGTGTGTTGTGGACATGCATAATGACCGTGAAAGTTACTGGTTAGCCAGACTTTCAAGACCAGAAGATTGTCTCAGTGTAACTACTCATTTCTGTTTCCATTTCGAGTTTTTGTCTCTCAGCAATCACTTAGACAGTTCCCAACCTGTTTAGGACATTTGAATTTATTATTTTGGGGCCGGCCAAATAGCTCAGTGGAATAAAGTACCTGCAAGCAGGCACGAGAGCC